CGTTTTATTTATTTCAGTTTATGGAAGTGACTCGTCTATTTTCGCGTGTGTACATGATTGATTCCGGTCAAGTCAAGAATATTGGTCGTCATGGTTTGAAGATCGAGCCCTACCGAAGCATTCTTTGCATGGAAAAATCCCCTTAAAATTCTGTGAGGCTGATAATCCCACTGGGGTTTACACTTCTGTACCATGGACAAGTGCATGCAGGTAATCCTGCAGTTCATGCACCCAAAAAAAGGGCTATCGGACCCCAAAAAAGGGTCCACCCAGAGTCCTTTGTCTGGGGCAGGACCTGGGTTTTTGCAAAAATTTGGCTGCCAAAAGTGTTGTCCTCATTTTGGTGACATACTCGCGCCCTCCAGTACAGCGCGCATTTGAGCAAAATTGAGTACAAATTAATGAATTCCTTTTCCCTACCATTTCTGGTGATCAAATCTCCTGAAAATTTTACTAAATTTCAGACATGTTCCAATTTATTTTGTTGTAGCCCAGCATCAACATCAACAGCCGCCTTCACAGCCGCCGCATTGGCGGCTGTGAAGGGGGCTACAGGAAAAAAATTTACACGAAGGGCACCTCATCTTTCCAGTGGAGAAAAAAAATTTTCATCACAATTGTATGCCATTTTAATTTATATTCCAAGAACTTTTCTCAGAACCCTCCTATGCAGTTACAATGCATTAATTTTTGGCATGAATGAAGCATTTTTTGAAAGATATTCCAATGTTCTCTCAAATCCATCAATCTGCAAATCCCCCATGATCAGGACTTTTTAGAACAACAAAATATGTTGGAAATATTTTAGATGCTAAAAGAATAATATTAAAATAAAATCCCAAATTTGAATGTAGACACTGATTGAGCTCAAATTGGACTGATGTTAAATTTTTTTAATGCTGACAAATTTGGTCCAAAATTTATCTTAGAAGCAAGCATATTGCGCATCAGAATCAAGATTGCATTTATTAGATGTTAAATTGTTGAGGATGAAGCCCCTTGATTGCCACTGGGGAATCCTGCCCACAAATGCAAAGGAATAGTTCATAATTTTTGGAAATGTTTTCAATATATACATAAGTTCAAAAAATTTCAGATTTTTGTTTTTACTTGCATATCCCCATAATAGAATCTAGGCAACAAATTTTCCTGTGCCACAATATGACAGATTAAAAAAATATTGAAGATGGAAAAATTACTGGACTTGTTGCATCTTGAGAGTTTGTAATTTTCAAGTTTTCAGGTTATCAACAAAATGGCTTGGATGTTGTGGCTTGGATAGATTATTTTTAAGACTGATTTTGTAAATTGGTATAAATTGAAAATAGGTATTTCCAACTTTCCATGCAGCTTTCAAAAGACAAAAACCTGTGGATAACACAAAATAGAAACAAATGAAATGGTGCTTATTAATCATTAACTCTTCAATTGATTAACTGCTGAAAATTCAAAGGCAATTTTGAGACTTTTTCTGAAATTATGCCAATGTCAAGCCCTAACAAATGTGTGAATTTAATCATAATTCAATGATGTGTAAATAATTTGCTGAATCCAGAATTTCTTAAATTTTGCATCAACAGAGTAAGATTGCTTCAAGGGAAGCATTTGAGGAGCGCAGCACATCATCATCATCATTCCAAAGATAAATTAGGTTTTTTTTTGTATCATTTAATGGATACATTTGTGCACAAAACTTCCAAACAATGCCCTGAAATGCTTAGCAGGCATGAGTAACAAGTCCAGCAAACAAGGAAAAAATCAAGAAACAAAGAGGTTGAACCTATGCAAATGCATTATTACAGATATTTATTGACAACTTATTTTCATAAAAATGTATTTTAAAAATCAAAGTCAAGTTTATAAATTATTCATGTGGAAGATAGAGTGAAAATTCTTCTCTTTTTTGTTCAAAAGCTTATAAATGTCAAGACTTTAGAACCTCAAAATGTGCTTGTGACTCAGTGTTTTTTCAATACTTCATCCAAGCCTCAAAAGCTTGCAAGACATTTTTACTCTTAACAAATTGGATTCTCTACTGAGAACTCTTCTGGGATTCTCTTTCAACTTAAATTAAATTTCTAAGACCTTGAAATTATGATCACTATAAAGTATTTTTGTAAACTACCACATTTTTCCATTAATTCTCCGAGAAGTTCATGTCCTGTAATATAAGTTCTTGTATATACCAAATAATGTAATAAATGTAGGTGTAAAAATCTATATTCAGTGGTTCAGTGGTATGCAACTGTTTCAATGGGCAAAAAGGGGTACATGCCTCAAAAAGGTTGAAAAGTGCTGCCATGAGGGTTCTTCAAGAACTGCAAACCTCAAACAACCACAAGTGATTTTTAAAAACTTATGGAGGTGACTTATTGGAGTCAATCAAAATGATTTTGAGGAACTCTTAAAGATACTCCATGAAAATTTTGGGAATTTGTAGTTGCTCAAATGTATTTCAGGAATAAATTATTTGGCAACTCCAAGTGAATTAGAGCAACAAGAAGTTTTTCCAAAAATCTGAGAACATGCTACATAGATGTACAGAAAAGCTTTATTTGCCACTGTTCCACATTCACAAGGTTCAAACATTCTTTTGAGCATCCCATTTGCCATAATAAAAGCATATACATTGCCATCCTTGTTTTTTTTTCAGATGACAATCACAGAAAAAATACATGAGTACCATGAACACCGAAGATCTCTTCAACACCATAAAATAAATACATGTTTACATCACAGCCTCCACATGAGCAATATTTTTGGGAAAAGGACAATGTCTTCTTGTGAAGTAAGTAGAAGATGACTGCTTCTTTGCATAATGTAGCTTAGCACAAGGAGATCCACAGCTAAGACAAAGCAATGCAGGCCACTGTAGGATTCAGTAGAGAACTCATCAATTAGAGAAAAAATGTGGGGAAAACAAAACCAACCTGAAACAGCATTGATCCTGCAATCAATCATGACTGCACCAGGTTTCACCCATTCAGCACTTTCTTCATGTCAATTTTCCTTAAATCCATATTTCCTGAAATTACAAGGAGAAATATCAATACATATAATATATACACATTATAATGTATACTCACATTTATATATATGAAAACATTTCCCAAGTTTTCATAAGTCTAGCTGTATACATATTTTTCAGGTTCATCCATGGTCACCAAAGGACATTCCAACAAGTGAAAGAGAAGTATGAAATGGACCCAAGAAAAGAAAAGCTGCCGTACAAGTTTGGATTATTGGTGTTCCTCAACACAGTGAAAAACAAAAGTGACAATTTGCATCTTGCAAATGAAATGGTATGTTTAATCCAAGCACATATTCAAACAGTGTGGCTGTGATTATTACTTTTTTTCAGATGCCTATAGAAAGGGACATCAGTTGGACAGATCATGCAAAAGTGAAAGAGGCTTTAACATCAATGCAAGTCACTTATCATCCAAAGCAGACTGGATTAAAAAGTGAGATCCACATGGAATGTATGAACAGTCACAACAGAATCATCAGGAATTTTTTTTTTCAGGAATGCAACACCTACTGGAAGAGAACAATGAACAGAAGACAGAAATAAAGCGTCTTAGAACACTACTGGCAAGCAAGTCTACAGTGGGTAAGTGCATCAAAGATCTTTAATGAAAAATATTCAGTGTGATTATTTTAGATATGTTTTTCATTAGGCACAATAAACTTGTGAAACTGAGGAATAAAAATCATATTTCACTCTCATCAGGTGAATGCCTTCAACAATGTGGATCACCAGCAATAGCACTTTCCAGCTGTGGTCATTTGACACTCTGCAAAAGTTGTTGGGAAGACTATTCTCTACACAACAAGATCATCAAGGAAGACATTGCATTTCTGAAGTGCCCACTGCTAACATGTCAGTATCTTGGCAAATTGCTAGAAGACTACTGGTTTGTTTCTTGAGAGAGGCTTGAAGGAAAAAAGATTAGAAAGAGATTTGTTGTGATGAATGTGAATTGTGATTAATGTGAATTGTGATGAATATGAATTGACTGAAATATTTTTGGAATTGTTATTTCCTTCATCATTCAAGAAGCAATTTGGATGTATAATCACCACTTAAGAGCACCAATGACATCCACAAGTCAACAACAGTCATTCACTGTCATTTTATACATCTCAGGAAAGAGCTACACAGATTTTAGAAAGGAGTTGGAGGCACTCAACATATTAAGATTAAGGATAGCAAAAAATATTCCAAAGGGAATCATACTAATTTTAATCCCCCAGCATCAAGTTGTACTTATGAATTAAGATGAACATGGATATCAAATTGGAGAGACTTTTCATACTTTGAAAATGCAAACAGATGTTTTAGTTATACTCACATTTCTTGAGAAAATGAGCTTGACTTGATAAACTTTGTACCACAGAAAAATTCAGAAGTTGGGAAATGTAAAGCACTGGATTAAAATAAAAGGCTGAATGTTTGCAAGGAAAACAAAACAAAAAACAGATGACAATCCATCTCAACAGTTGTTTCTGTGACCTATCATTCTCTAACATACACATTCCAATGAAAAAAAAAAAAAACAAGCCTCACATGTACTGCAATGAATTTTCATAATTGCATGCACTTAATTCTTGCTTCCAGAATTGGCATGTGAACTTCTCCCCTTTGATGAGATGATGCTGAGTTGCTCCTTCTCCTCTGGATCTGGATCTGAAGATTGAGTTCTTTGGCTATTACATAAATCAAATTGGGAGATTAGGGATAAAACATACCAACCTTGATTACCTCCAATGCTACCAGAACTGCACAGAATGAAGCCAGTATCGACTTCTTTGCAAGACTTGAATCCCGTAGCACTCAATGTTGTTGACCTATCCTTGGGAAGAAGAGGTTACAATTAATAAAAACAACTCATGAGTTATGACTTAATACAGGACTATGTCCCCATGTACGTATTCATTGTCAGAGCACTGCCACGAATCTATTTTATGCTCAGAGTCCAACAACATTTGCACAAGGATACCATGGACATTAGTTTCTTCATTTAGCTTTCACACAGCTCGCAATAACTGCATGACAAAAGAACTTATAATTCACATAAACAGAAGGAAATTCATTCCCACCTGCTTCTTGGAAGATGAACACGATTGACTTCAATATCGGTTCCGTTTTTAGCTTTCAGTTTCATGCCAATGTCGTAGGTTACGGAGTCTGCACAGATCCAACTTTGAGCATCTCAGATTCAGGTGAATCCCACCTAAGTGTAATTTCAAATTGTTACAGGGGTTTTGAAAGACAAAAACAAGGGTTACCAAGGGCAGAGAAACAACAGAGAGCAACAATAAACGGCCAAAGACCTCATACACGACCGTTACCACTCTGGAACCAAGGATGTCTGAACAGGGCCATTCGTCTCTTTGTCGTTATAACAGTGGGTGTGAACATGAACACGAACTTGAAAATACGCCCATCTTCCGAATGCACGATCGAATCCCACAAGTTGGAAGAAGAAAACTAAATAAATAATCTCGAATCTTACTTCGTTGGCTTGCTCCTCAAGCTTGTTCTCAGCCACGTATCCCTCCTCAAAGAATGATTTGCGGATAAAGATGGCGAAACAGAATCTCCATCCCTGCGATTTGAGATACAGAATCAATCAGTGAAGTTCGCGAATACAGATAAGAAAATCCTTACGCAGACGCATGGAAGTCTGACTCAGGTTTTTCTTCGATGCATTCGTAGCTGTCTTCGGGCGTGGGAGTGCAAACGGTCGGAAGCCTGAAGAAAATTGAATTCTGCAGTTGATACATAACAATTTAAAACACAGAAAATCAACCACTATGACATACTCTCGGTTGAAGATGGAGCACAACACCTATACGCAAACATTTTCACATCTGATCTTGTTAATTTGATTAGCTCTATGTCGACAGATATAGAATACAGTACAGTAATACGCAACTTCAATGACTGCACCTGAATACCATTCTCTCCCGAAGATACCGCACTCGGGTGGAAATAATCTAGGGCTTAGTCTCGATTTTGACAAGTTCAGAATAATTCGTGAACTAGGACACAGAAGGGGACAGAATATCCCACCTCATCCCAAGACAGTGCCAAATAAGTAAAATTAGAAGATCTTGCACAATAAATCGACAGAAGAATTTGTTTCGAGATTCAGAATCGATACTGAACAAGTAATAAAATCAGCGAGTTGGAAAAACGGGACAACAGAACAATCGCAAAAAGGTAACAATATGGTAATGAAAGAAGGTCAACTCACCCAGTATGATCCGAACTACGATTTTCTTTATTAGCCGAGTTCGCTTCAGCAACAGCATCATACTGAAGTTTCTTCGGCGTGAAGGAACGCGAAGACATCATTAGTACGCGGGAATTTAATTTCCACGAGTTGGGAGGGATGATCTTTTTTTTTTCCAGACAAAACGAAAGGTCACGTGACCAATCGACGCTGGGTCGAGTTGACACCCCCCGACTTTTCCACGGCTTTTCACTGGCCTTCCCGGGGTCATGATGAGCAAACAATGATTGCATGATGCGTCTGTCATTTTCTGGATGACCGAGCAGTGTAATTGGTTCAGTTCTGTATATAGATAGTGGCCTTCCTGATGCGAGGCAAAAAAAATATTGGCAATTCATCACGCTGATTTACGTTTCAAATCGCCCGAGGTTGAAGAATTTTCAACAGCCCCAATGCCTGACCTATTATTGATTTCAGAGGGTATAGTCTTCAAAAACGGCAATTTTATGAAAGTTGCGTCTTCGCCAAATGAAAATATTCTGCTGAAAATTATTTTGTTTTGCCTCCTTATATACAGCATTGAAAAAAATTAATTTCTCCCCTTGACTCATTGAGCAGAACGATATTTTGTAGCATTAATTGTTTTTAGTTTGAAGAATAAAAATTTTCACTAGAATCTTACTGACTGTTAGGAGTTTACTTACTATGACACAACATATATGCCATATATATCCCGACTACGACAGAAAATAAAAAAAAATTTCTAAGGACGGATTGCTTATCAAACTTGAGAATGTCTCTTACTGCCCATATTCAGTGCATCTTTATTTTAAAATAAGTAATATGCAATCTTGCATGTATCACGGTTTTATATGTACAGTAAATTATGGTCAACATCCAACATTAAACCGTAGTAAATTGAAGACAAAGTTTACGTACTGAAGCTAGATACAGCATCAAAATGATGTTTTGAACATCCCCTGGACGGCTAGCGAGCCTTTTCCTTAGCTTGATAAAAAAATGTTAATATAGATGTCGCATGAGGTTCAACAGCATCACCGAAACGNTGAAGACAAAGTTTACGTACTGAAGCTAGATACAGCATCAAAATGATGTTTTGAACATCCCCTGGACGGCTAGCGAGCCTTTTCCTTAGCTTGATAAAAAAATGTTAATATAGATGTCGCATGAGGTTCAACAGCATCACCGAAACGAGGCATAACGAGGCATCCGACCCATGATCTCAATTCAAATTTATTTCGCCATGTCATTTTGATAAGAATACCAGCCTAAATTCATCCATAGCCAGGCTTTTCAGTTTATTTTGGATCATACTTCAGACAATCGATTGTAGTGTTGAATTGTTCTCCATAGGTTCAAGATAATAATGAGTTTGAATCAGTGTGCGCGTGGTTGAAACCAGAACAAAAAACGCATTTTAAATGTCAAGCAGTTACAAGGAGGATGAAAAATAAGTAATTTTGAGCACAATGATTGATCCTTTAGATTATTGATTTGGTACCGAATGCATGACAATTATCGTAAGCGTTTTCTCTCTTTTTTTTCGTGCTGCGCGGATTCGCCAAATCACGACACATCGTTCCTCAATTTTTTTTTTGTGTGCATCGGAGCATTCAGAGTGCATGACCTGCTTTTTGCATGCATTTGCAAAATTGTGGGCGTGTGCTGCGAAATCCCTGAATATCCCTCGAACGTATATAATGAGTATAGAGTATACGGTTCAGGCTTTATTTTTGGAGGTCAGACGCTCCCTATTTTGGGAAAGGAATTCCGCACCTTGCTTTGCGCGAACTGAAAGGTGTAAATATGAATAAATGAACAGGGTCGCAGTCGTGGTTCCGACGACGTGCTCCACATCATGACCTCTCTTTTCATCCCCCCCGTTCCGAAACCTGACAAACTTCGAATGAAGTTCTGCTGCGGGAACCAGAGGAAAAGCGTGGTGACCCAACGTGACTCGATTCCATTTTCGTCGCTGTTGGTGGAATGGCTGAAAAAATAAAATAAAAAAACCGGGTAGTTTTAGTGAGAGAACAAGCAAAGGAAAAATTGACAGAGAGACGAATAGTACAGTACCTAAAAAAAAGCTGCGAAGTTTAAATTTTTTTCCGGGTCTTGTTGAAAAATACAAAAGCCTAGAAGAACTTTTGCCTTGAATGTGCAATCAACTCTGCAAAAATAACTGGCAAAATCTTATTTTCTGCGGACTTCTTCTCAGAAGCTTTCCGTTGCTGCACAGGATCAACATCTTCACAACCTGGAAAAAAATCCTGTAATGAGCACTAAAAAGATGAAAAAATAAAAAGATTTCCTGAAAGGACGTGCGGAACTGGGACATTCGAAGGCTGTATAACACCATGGCAATAATTATTTTATTTTCTCTTCACCATTTTGGTGAACAAATACCGTCGCAAGAAAAAGTGTTGAATTGACACCGGAAGCCACTAAATTTTTCAGGTTGTGATCAGATGTTGAAAGCGGGCTTAGAATGCATTGAAAAATACCCAAACTGAATTAATATCATAAAAAATTAAAATTTAGAGCACCGAAATCAATCAATTGCTGAGTTTTCTTTTAATCGAAACAAAGATACTTATTGACATTTATGTTATGTTTAGTGCGATCAATTTCAAAGAGCTGTTCCGAGTTTCGTCATTAGCCAAATCAGTGAAATTTGAAAACAAAATCATAGTATTTTTTTATTAATATTCGAGGCTCCCTGATATTTTATTGTAGCTTGGATTTTAGTGACCTTCATTGACACGGTTATTAAAAAGAGAGAAAAAACCCTTTCGTGTACTTTATTTTGACGATTTCAGTACATTTCCCTGCACGCAGGAGTGCCAAATATTGACACTCCGCATTGCCGAATTCGCGTGTCCCGTGTTCACTTCGCTAAAAATTTCATCAGCTGCTCCTCCGGTGCTCGTCATTGTACCATTTTCAATTTTGCACGTTTCGTGTTCCGAAAACCGGCCAAATTATTAATTCTGCTGGAAAAAACGGGGCTTTCCCCAGCCAATTACGCACTTATTTCATCATCTCGTGCGACTGACACGGAAAAAATAATTCTTTTTTTTTCTCTCGTCTATTATGAAAGTGTGTCTCTTTTTTCGTTGTCCTATTAACTGTTATTTCGGAAGTTCAAAATTCCTGTCATTATTGCCATTAGTTGACTGAAAATGCAGGCCAGAATTCCGTATCGTGATTCCATGAATGTTCTATTTTTCCACCGTGTCAAATGAACGTTTCGGGACCGAATAGATCAATAACTCATATCGGATTCGTCTCAAACCCGTGCATAATTCAGCACAGTCTGACCTTAGCTTTTTTTTTCTACCTCCTCGGGGGGATTTCGGAGGATCGGGTTCAGTTTTGGTTCGGCTGGGAAATGGGTGTTCCAGTCACGAAACCCGGGGGTGTATCGAGGATATTAGTGGAAAAAGAAATTACAATTTTATGTACAGATCTTGCAATTGATGCACAAACCTTGATTCCTTTCGCTGCTCCTGAAAATGATAAAACTTGATTAAATCCGGGTCTGATGAATTTTCTGAGTTATCAGTTCGAGTAAAATAAATGACATAACATTGTACTGTAAAATGTATTTAAAAGAGAATTGCATTAAAATGCGGTGAAATTTGTTTTGGCAAATTCTTGCTTGCAAATTGTTTGCAGCTCTTAACGGTACACCAGGAAAGTTTTTCGAGTCTCGATACGGAAAATAATTCTGCGATTATCAAAATTTTCAAGTTGGCAAACGGCTTTTTGTATTCTGAATTCACTATAATAGAAGTTATGAAATTCTTCACGAAAGGCGAATATAATTGTTGAAGGAAAATGAGAATTTTTCTTCCTACCAGAATTATTACTTTTTTTCGTTTTTGATTCTTTCAAGAAAGTTGATTCAATTTAACTTGCGAATCAATACTCTTTCTGAGCCTTTCGATAAATAAACGTGAAATGATCTTTATTGGTACAGTACTGTATACTTGATGAATCCCAGTGAGTTGCTTTGAAATACCAATCGTGTCTTTGATGAATGAGTTTCATCATGCCAAAGGAAAGAATTTCCGGCGAAAATCGGAAATTTGCAGCTTTCTCAAATTTTGATTTTATTCCATAAAATGGGATGCTCGATAAAATTTATATCTCTGCGGAAGTAGTAGTCGGAAGTCACGATTTCTTGTTGGATCAATTTTCAGAGCACGTTTAAAAGGAAATCGTCTCCCATTATTTATGAACCTCGTTCAATTCCCTTTTTGTCCCACAAAATCTTCTAAATTTCGTGAAATCAATTTTGCTGAATACTTTTTGGATTCTGAAATTTATTTCCTTCTATCTTTGAGAAATTCCGTAGATAAAAAAAAACAAGACGAAATCGGGGGACGAATAAATTTATACCCGTGTTCTTTCATGGAGATTTCTTCGAAAAAAGTCCAAAATAAAATTTTTAAACTTCTTTTTTTGAAGATCAGAGAGCAGAAACAGTTTTTTCGGAAGAAATAAAATTGCTGTTGCGTTGAGACAAAAATCCACCTTAATTTATTCCCCAACTTTAGACCTTTGTGTTTTCAAAACAAAATACAAGAAACCATCAAGAGAAGCAAGATGAAATCTGCGGAATAAGGTCGAAAGAGGGCAATGTATGCAGTATCTATGTTGCATAATAGATGCGCGCCGAAACTTTGTAACCATACGAGGGCCAGGGAATTGGATCCCGATGCTTTCAAGCCCCGGGTTCGTGACGTCTTTTGAACTCATGACATTTCAGGCTGCTTTAAAAAAAAATGTATTGTTATTTTTCAAGCAAATTTCCTTCAAATTACTGTATACTATTCACGATGAGCTTCATCGAAAAGTGGAGAAGAGAAAAGAATTCGCGGAGCGGAGATTCCGATTTTTATTTTCGTCTACCCCGTAAAATGTACTGTATTCGTATTTTCCCCTCATCAAATCAGATTTAAGTTATTAAAAAAAAATTATTAACGATTTTAAGGCATTATCTTAAAGGAGTCATTTTTCTTTGAAAAGATCCTGCGTCGAAAAAAGTTTCTGGTTCTTCCAAAAATGATTCAAGATAAATAGCAGTTCGGAGTCTTCAGACTGAAGAAAATGTAAATACCGAATTTTTTTTTGAAAAGTGACTCATGATTTATGTATGCAACGACTTGCGTAAGTTTCTGGTTCTTCCAAAAATGATTCAAGATAAATAGCAGTTCGGAGTCTTCAGACTGAAGAAAATGTAAATACCGAATTTTTTTTTGAAAAGTGACTCATGATTTATGTATGCAACGACTTGCGAGTACTGCGCGCAATTTTTTTTCTTTTCACACATCATTCTGGTTCATTTATGCTTGGTTTTAATATTCAATTTTGCCTTGATATCGTTTTGAAAGTTAGAAATTCATTATAAGGCCTTGATGCCAGGACTGGAATCAGAAAACATCCCACCTGCTCCAGACATATATACGCTTTTCGTTGGACTGATGGAGAAAGTTGTGATGTGGTACACAATCCAAAAGTGACGGAGGCATCAAAGTACTTGGAAGTATTCATGGACCGGATGATCGTCAAATATTTGTGACTCTGTATACTGGTTTAATCATGAGTTCAGTTGAAGTGAGCCTCAGTGCGGAAAATCGAAACTTTAAACTTACTCTGCCAGGGTTTTCGAATTTTTTCCCGAACGAAATATGTAGGTTTTTTCCGATAAACACGTGATATTTCAAAATCGCTGATCGATGGGAAATTATAATGAACTCGAACTTCAAAATTAACGTCAGCAAACAAGATTTCAATTTTTTCTTAAGCTGTTGCTTATGGAATTCTGTATTTCTTCCTCATAAACAGACAAAAGATAAATGGATGTGAAGTACCGACATTTTACCCTTACTTGAAGCTGAAAGCATACCTAATAAAATGTTGTGTAGGATGATGATGTATGTAAAATACAGTATAATTATCTGATCACTACAGCGTTCAATGCCTTTCTTAAGTCTTGCAGTATTTGCTGAAAATATGTCTTTATCTCCCCAATGATCTTGAAATAAAAAAGGCATGCGAAAAAATGTCCTCTTTACGTCTTGGTCAGTAGCTCGGTCTATTTCAAAAATTTATTCCAGGCACTAAAAATGTAAAACAATTGGTCTTATGCCTTTTCAAGCCGTAATTCTGTTCTTCAGTAATTAAGTACTGCATGGGTGCTAGCCTCCATATAATCACGTCACAATGAGTAACCATGATAAATTCCCCAAGTCTTGTGAGTCATAGAAGGTATATCTCAGCAGAATTCTTTACGCACAAAAATGCACTTCGGTTACAGACGAAACTTGATAGCTTCCCAAATGCAAAACGAACTCCATCAGTTGTTTAGAAATAGAAAAAGATCATGTTGACAAAAATTAATTCTTTTTGTTGTCGATGCCCGGGTGTCAGATCGCTAAAAACTGCGTTTTCCAGGAAAAACCTGCGACTCGCAGGACGTTAGGTCCCGGTGGCAACGCTGCTCTCGGGTAAAAAAAAAAGACACAAAAAAAGCACTTGACCTCATCAATAAGATCCGATGACAGGCATCTCGAGTGACGACGAAGAAATTTTGGGACACCACTCCTGGGAGGAAAATAGAAATTTGAGACACACACACCCATAAAAAAAAAAAAAAGAGAGAAAAGAAGAAAGGATGAGGGAGGAAATTGTGCGCCTATGAGACGCTTTTTCCCGTTGATACTTTATAGTAGGGGAGTGTTTGCTCTCCCAAAGACGGAAACTTTTCTCATGGGAGGGATGAAAAATCGTCGCGAAGAAACGCGAACCCAATTTGCTATTTCTGTCCCGAATTTTTTTCATTTTTATTCTTCTTTTTTCTTCCTGGTTCTACGTAGAATATACATAAACATGTCCCCCTCTGAAATTTCAAACACTTATATCTCGTACGTGTAATCGGAGCAATTTCAAATCGGTGATTTTTCTCGAAAAGGTAATAAATATATGGAACGATTCGTAAGTTTGATATTTCTGGGATCTTCCATCGCTTTATTGGAATATCATTTATGAAATTCTCCATTGTTTCATTTATGAACACTGTAGTGACTTCTGAAAATTGATTTTGTTGATTTTCGTGGGAAAAGCCTCTGTTGAGCGCCAAAGTAGCTTCAAAAAATTTAGCGAAGGATTTTTTACAAATTAAATGAACTTCAGTACAGTATTTTCAGAATCACACACGGACTTTTCATTCAGCACACTAATGCATAATAGCGGCAATTCACTGAAGAAACCCTAAGACTTAAAAAAAAATTCTAATAGTTCAACGATACCTTCTCATTCTTAATGCATCTTTAACGTTTTATAAAGATCGAAAAGTTAAAAAAATCAATCGAAACAGTCAGCGTTTTTGAGTTTTCCAAAAATGAATGATTAAATCTTCATGAATAAGATTACCATGGGAATTCCGAAAAAGTTTTTCTGATCCGTTGGTTCATCTACAATTTTTTGGTCTCTTGCCTTTTTAAATATATATTTTTAATGAATATCAAGTAATTTTCACAGATTATCATTTGAAATTGTTCCAACATGTGTCCTCATTGAAAGCCCAATAAAATTATACTTCAATATTGCCGGGAAATCCGTTTTATCTGTCGAAGTGGAGTGTTCTCTAATTTTTTTTGGCTTTGTACTTATTGCCAAATATTCAAAATGATCTGAAAAAAATATTCTGAAATATTATTAATCTGCTCTCGAAGCCGTTAACAAAAATCGTGAACTTGACAATTTTACTTTCGATTTTACTTGTCATGCTAAATATGTTGGAAAAAACTTCGGCATGCCGACAATTCGGCGCCAGATTAATTTTAAACGACAGTCTTTTCCGAAAATTTCCAACAGCTTCTGCTGGAGCCTGGGAACCAAACCCGAGTTCGATTCCCAGGCCCTCTCGCGAGAAGAACTTCAGTTCATATCTTTAATTCAATCACTCCTTTTTCTATTTTTTACATCCATTCTATATCACATTTTTCAGCTTTGTGAGTTTGTCTGTTTGACATCTCTTTTTCTCACAAAAGTGGTAGCAGAGCGTGGTTTCTTTACGCCGCCTCTCTTCTAATCAAAAAAAAAAAAAAAAAATTTATCTCACTGCGTCTATCGTTATTTTCTCTTTTCCAAAAACTATCTTTGAAACCCAAGTCCTAACGCGAAAAGTGTTTTTGAAAAGTGTACAAGTGATCTAAGATTAAGCCTCAATTAGGCATTTCCCACAGGTGATAATCCAAAACCCTACCAAAAAACCAAAACTATCAACAAAAGGAGAACTACAAAAGGTGACGTAAGGAAAAGAGGAAAAAACCCTCAAAACATCCAAGACAAATCGAAACAAAGAAAAACCAACCGAAAAATGCCACCAAAGGCAATGAAGAAGAAACCGGGAAGGCCTCCCAAAAAGATCATTATTGATCAAAACATTGAGATTGAAACTCAAAGCCAAAACGAAATACATGAAGAAGTTGAAACTCCTACTGAACCAGAGACACCAGGAAGAAATTTGGCTACCTTAACCACTTCAACATGCACTTCTGATTCATCCTTAAATACACCGCTGTCATCAACTGAAATCATATCCGAAAACAAAACCAACAATGCTTTTTGTGATTTAACATCAAAACTCTTCCGAATTGTACAACTAATTCGTAAAGGAGATTGGGCAAACGCGGAACCTAAACAAGACCTTAAATTAAAAACCTTTGAAGAAATCATTGAAAACTTTTCTGAAGCTTACGCATTCCTCTCTATGACCCAACTTGACTTTCTTGATCAAGAAGATACAAATGAAATCATGGCCTTGAAAAAAGAAATAACTAACCTTGCTCCGCATACACCGCAATCTTTGTCGAAAGAGTGGAATACTCTCAGGCCAGCGCAAAAAACTATACTCGATATCAATTTTCCGGAACCCCCAGCCGTAATGGTTAACGCTCCTAAATCCGTTTCACTGAGTGAAAGCTTTGATGATGAGGACGAAGATTCAGACTCAGACACTGAAGAAGGATTTGCTGTAGAAGCAGAAATTAAGATGTACGGTAAAGGACAGTCTATTTTAAAAGGAAAAACTCCTGTGCAGTACATACAAGACTATCTGAGAATTGAATTGAAGACGTTTCGTAAATTCAAACCTGAACAGGATTTGGATCAAGACTTTGACCGAGTTTGGTCATACTACAAACCAATCCATAAGGCACCGATCTATGAACTGACTCCTGAACAAAGAATTAAACTGTACCTAATGCATTTTGATGAAGACGCACTGCAAATGCTGAGGGGGTTGGATAGAAAAACTGAGCTGTCCGATTATTTGGATCTGGTGAGGAAAACGTTCTATGCCTTTGGAAAAGTTGAACAAGTAGTTCAAAGATTCTACTCGCAGTTGGAAAATCTACCAAATCCAGATGGCTCCTATTCCGGGGGGGCAGTATACATGAATGATGTCATTGACTTAATTGCTAAACTGACCAATATGAAAGAAAATATACACTCAATCCACAATCGTATTTGGACCCTGGTCAAGAATAATTTAAAAAGGGGAAAACTGTACAAAATCTTGAAAACATCAATCAAGAAGAAGAATAAACTCATGTGGAAACAAAACCCCGAACAAATGTACAGATGGTATTGGAAGAAACTTAACAACAACGCTTCTGTTGATGAAGATACTCCTCAATCAAATATTGGGATATATAAAACTTCAGCAGAACCCAAAACTGCAGTAGTTAACAAAACGGTCAAAACAACTCCAAGTGCTCAAGTAAAGCCATCGTCGGCTCCCCCGGTTCCGAAAATAGTGAAAACTGAAACTACAGCGCAAATGTGTGAGAAAATGGAAGTCGACACTGAACCTGAAGTCAAAAAGGTCAAGCAAGAAAGAAATGAAACAGGAAATTCTGGGCAGTACAATACATACAATCAAAATATGCAAAACAATCAAGGACAGTTCAGAAATTATAATCAAAATGGACAGAACCATAACAGCTATCAATGGACAGCGCCGAATTACAGGCAAAACCGATTCCAACAAATGACTTTCACAAAGAAGTGCCCATTTTGCGGACAAGAACATTACCCAAATCAGTGTCATCAAAATGTAGAGCTACAGGAAAAGAATGCTAAAACTTACAGCCTTTGCCTGAATTGCTTGCGTCCTGGACATGGAGTTAAAGATTGTTGAAATTTCAAACGTTGCCAAAACTGTGGCGGTAAACATCATACGAGTCTGTGCCGAAAATCAACTCAAACAAATGGGAGTCAAGAAAATAATCAGAACCAAGCAAACAGTGCAGATTCCCAACAACCAAGCGCTGAAATTCTCAACATTGTTAAGAACCTCCAAACCGACGTGGCAGAAATGAAAAAGGTACAAGTTGTTCAAGCACAGTCAGTTCCCGTACAAAATAACGCATGACTAGAACGAATTAACATAAAAATATCATTAAAAACTCCATCACGCTCTTTTATGGAAACAACCCAACTCATAGAGACTAAAACCGAAAAGGAATTATATGCATTACTGGATTCAGGAGCACAGCTCAACCTTATAACTGAAGAGTGTGTTAATAGACTCTTGTTAAAGCCAGAAAGGCACAAGACTGGATTCAGAATAACAGGAGTTAATGAAAATGACCCCGAAGATCTGACATCAACATCTTATGTAGATATAAGTCTCAAGCCAAGAAAAACCATTGGAATAGACCAAACGTTCAAAATCAAAGCAATGGTAGTACCTTTGGACAAGCCTTGGGCAAGCACCAATCCACAGATCATACCTTGGATCAAAGAATATCAACACAATCTTGCCAACCCCAGAATAGTACATTCCAAACAGTTTCCCTTTGACCTAATACTGGGGGGCAAAGATCTCATACCAATATTTACGTTTGATAAAAAACCAATCATTGCAACAAATCAATTTCAACTCTTACACTCAAACGTTGGACTCATCCCTCGTGGTAGTTGGGATAACAAAGGAAACGAAATTCAATACACTAACAGACCAACTGTGTTCAATGTCAGAGTAAACGAAAATAGTATACTGGACTGCAAGCTTAATCAAGAAATTACCAAAAGTCTGAGATTGGATCGAATTGAAATATTTGGAAATACAGACAAAGTGAAAAGCTCAGCTGAAGAAGAATTGTCCAATTATCTGAAGAAAAGTAGTGTAAAGAGGAAAGAGTTAGAAGAGGGTGATGNNAGAGACACCAGGAAGAAATTTGGCTACCTTAACCACTTCAACATGCACTTCTGATTCATCCTTAAATACACCGCTGTCATCAACTGAAATCATATCCGAAAACAAAACCAACAATGCTTTTTGTGATTTAACATCGAAACTCTTCCGAATTGTACAACTAATTCGTAAAGGAGATTGGGCAAACGCGGAACCTAAACAAGACCTTAAATTAAAAACCTTTGAAGAAATCATTGAAAACTTTTCTGAAGCTTACACATTCCTCTCTATGACACAACTTGACTTTCTTGATCAAGAAGATACGAATGAAATCATGGCCTTGAAAAAAGAAATAACTAACCTTGCTTCGCATACTCCGCAATTGTTGTCAAAAGAGTGGAATATTCTCAGGCCAGCGCAAAAAACTATACTCGATATCAATTTTCCGGAACCCCCAGCCGTAATGGTTAACGCTCCTGAATCTGTTTCACTGAGTGAAAGCTTTGACAATGAGGACGAAGATTCAGACTCAGACACTGAAGAAGGATTTGCTGTAGAAGCAGAAATTAAGACGAACGGTAAAGGACAGTCAATTTTAAAGGGAAAAACTCCTGTACAGTACATACAAGACTATCTGAGAATTGAAATGAAGACGTTTCGTAAATTCAAACCTGAACAGGATTTGGATCAAGACTTTGACCGAGTTTGGTCATACTACAAACCAATCCATAAGGCACCAATCTACGAACTGACTCCTGAACAAAGAATTAAACTGTACCTAATGCATTTTGATGAAGACGCACTGCAAATGCTGAGGGGGTTGGATAGAAAAACTGAACTGTCCGATTATTTGGATCTGGTGAGGAAAACGTTCTATGCCTTTGGAAAAGTCGAACAAGTAGTTCAAAGATTTTACTCGCAGTTGGAAAATCTGCCAAATCCAGATGGCTCCTATTCCGGGGGGGCAGTATACATGAATGATGTCATTGACTTAATTGCTAAACTGACAAATATGAAAGAAAATATCCACTCAATTCACAATCGTATTTGGACCCTGGTCAAGAATAATTTAAAAAGAGGAAAACTGTACGAAATCTTGAAAACATCAATCAAGAAGAAGAATAAACTTATGTGGAAACAGAACCCCGAACAAATGTACAGATGGTATTGGAAGAAACTTAATAACAACGCTTCTGTTGATGAAGACACTCCTCAATAAAACATTGGAATATACAAAACTTCAGCAGAACCCAAAACTGCAGTAGTTAACGAAACGGTCAAAACAACTCCAAGTGCTCAAGTAAAACCATCGTCAGCACCTCTGGGTCCAAAAATAGTAAAAACTGAAACTGCAGCGCAAATGTGTGAGAAAATGGAAGTCGACACTGAACCTGAAGTCAAAAAGGTCAAGCAAGAAAGAAATGAAACAGGAAATTCTGGACAGTACAATACATACAATCAAAATATGCAAAACAATCAAGGACAGTTCAGAAATTACAACCAAAATGGACAGAACCATAACAGCTATCAATGGACAGCGCCGAATTACAGGCAAAACCGATTTCAACAAATGACTTTCACAAAGAAGTGCCCATTTTGCGGACAAGAACACTACCCAAATCAGTGTCATCAAAATGTAGAGTCACGGGAAAAGAATGCTAAAGCTTACAGCCTTTGTCTGAATTGCTTACGTCCTGGACATGGAGTTAAAGATTGTCGAAATTTCAAACGCTGCCGAAACTGTGGCGGTAAACATCATACTAGTCTGTGCCAAAAACCAACTCAAACAAATGGGAGTCAAGAAAACAATCAGAACCTAGCAAACAATGCAGATTCCCAACAACCAAGCGCTGAAATTCTCAACATTGTTAAGAATGTCGGTGCATCCTCTTTCGGTTCCTCCCACTGCCAGTGGGTCATCTGGAGGCCGGTCAAGTTCGTTTGATTTGTCAGGGGCTGTCGCTGCTGAGCCCGAAATCCAAGTGTTAGAGCAGATTGCTCCCGAACCTCCGAAACTCGTCAACTACATCGGATTTGGGGCTAGTGTTGCCAGTTTGTCCAGGGGATCGTCATCAGAAGTCCCTGCGGATCCTCCTCAGCATCAAGCATTCCAGGTAGCGCATGCTCCTCTGGCAGAAGGCCTTACTGATGGTTCGTTTTCAAGTTTTTATTTGACAAAATTTTTGTTGGGGGTTTTTGAGCCTTTTCTTTAACAAATTGTTTCGTTCTTTTCAACGTTTTTTCAGATGTTTTGAGGCGTATTTTTTGGAGCAGGAGTTTTATTCCGGATGACGAGATTGCCTTTAGAAGAAATGCTGCCGTCAACTTGGGTCTGACCCCGAAACATGCAGAGACAATTGGATCTGTCCAGCTTCCGATTCCTGGGTGTATAGTGCAGGACTGGACTCATGGTACACCACTATTTCCGCACCGAGGTCCTTTGAAGAGGATGGGAGTTTTGAAGAAACCCAAGGTACTAATCATAAGTGATTCGCTGATGGCGTACATTCGCCTTGCTCTGGGACCTGAAACGTTTGTCACTAATGTACGAGAGGAGAAGGCTTTGTTACGGCCAGTCTGTGACTTTTCTCATCTGTTGGAAGATTTACCGATGCATGTATATCAGGTGTGTTTTAGACAAATTTCTTGGTTTTGTTAAAAATAATTCAGGTTGAAGAGTGATCAGGTTCCAGATGAAGTTTAAACTAATATGAATTTCCCTCTTTTCTTTTTGTTTTCTCTTTTAATTTTTTAGTGGTCAATGAGTGGGTTATCCTTTGGATTTGGACAAACTCGGAGTCCGGAGGATTTGAAGCGGCGCATTTATGCGGACCTTTGGTTGGATCCCTCCTTCAAATTTACCCATGTTTTTATTTGGCTGGGGACAAACGACATAAAAGCCCTGGTATCGGAGATTGAGGATTCGCCGGTGTCGAACTTCTCAGGATTCATGGAAGTTTTTCATGAGTTCATGTGTCGTGTTTCTGCTGTTTTTGACGCCACCACGTTTGCCTTGGGAGCGTCTCCTCTGCCACCTTGCCTGAAGGGCGGGTTTATTCATCCGGAGATTCTGATGTCTGCCAATGGAATGCCCTCTTTCCCTTTGAGGATGAGAAGTGGGAGCTGCAAGGTTCCTGAAACTGAGCGCCTGAACGTGGCGTATGCTTTGTTGCGGGAATTTCGCTGCCGCCTGATTCGTTTGTCTGGAGTACGCCAGCAAGGCACTGGTTGCAAAGGATGGTTTTCTGCTGCCACTCCCACAGATCATCTGGCTTCATTCGTCAAGGTGGATTGTCTGTCTGGTGTTTTTGGGCACATAATGTTGCGCGCATATCTGACGTTTGCTCGCGAAAATGCAATCTCTATCCAATTTGGATTGGCTCTTGACACCAGGGATGACAAGTAGTGCCTTGTGAAATCTTGCACTGGTAGTCCGCCGTATTGGGGGGACAGAGGTAACATTGTTCCCGGTGTTTCGCCCAACAAGCTGCATCGTCATTGTGCTGAATCCGACTATAAGAGTTGTCTCGGTGGACCTCTTGGTCGTGTTGAATTGGATGGTTTAGCGGTTTTTACGGATCCTTTTGAAAGGTGAGTTGAAGAATGAGGTACAAATGTTTTCAGAGATTAATCAATTTTGTGTTTTTCAGCTTGAAGTCGGTTTTCAACTCAAGAATCCTCAACGAATGCTTTTCAATCGAGTACGTCAGAGCCTTTGCGAGTCATATTTGTGAAGCTGATGCTGGGAAGATTGTTGTTGGGTCAATTGTTTGTCATCTTCCTACAGGCCAGATTAAGATTGTGATTGCCAGTAATGCTTTTCAATTGAGTGCGTCAGAGCCTTTGCGAGTCGTATTTGTGAAGCGGATGCTGGGAAGATTGTTGTTGGGTCAATTGTTCGTCATCTTCCTACAGGCCAGATTAAGATTGTGATTGCCAGGACAAGTGTTGGGTGTTGGTTGGTGGGAAAGAACTGTTGCCTCTTTGCAAAATGCAGCGACCTCGCCAGGGTAGATTTGGAGATAAATCTCCCAGGCTGATAGAAAAGGAATAGTCCCCCCCCCAGTTCAAATGGAAAGGAAAGGTTTTTGGTTTTCTTGTTTTGCGACGACTGTTTTTTAAGTTTGAGTTTATTTGATGGGGGACTTAGCTTTGTTGTGTTGTTTTTTCTATTTTTGCTGGTGTTCCTTTTATGTACGCAGTTTTCTGTTTTTTATACCTGATATAATTATTTGATGATTTTGGTTTTGATGACCTGTTGTTGAACTATGTTTGTATTGCGAATAAACTGATTTGACAGACCTTTCTGATTTTGATTTCAATTTCGAGAACTTAACAGAACAAGGGACCGAATCAAGTTCAATTTTGAGCATCTAAGTGGGATAAGTGGGTTTCTTTTCTTTCTCTCTCCCCCCCCCCCCTTTTAATTTTTGGAGGTACTGGTTTCAGAATGTCCACCGGAAAAAAGTTAAAGTTTTTTCTTAAGCTTTCTCTTCAATCTTAGTGAAGAAGGTTTTGATTGCGTCTATTTTTGACATTGCTACTTTCTTTAAGAATTCATCATTGATTTGCTGAACTTCAGCTTCAAGTGGAGTTAGATTTTGAATAACTTGATTTTTTAGGATTGTTGGTACTGGTGTTCCTGATCCCCCCGGTCTTGTTGTGGTCAATATATCAACGGACCGAATAACTCCGTCTCTTTGACTTTTGTATACTGCTATTATTTTTGCGAGTTTCCATTTCAGTCTGTGAAGGGGGGATTCTGCATTGATCATGTTTGGTTTCAATAGGACAATTTGTCCGATCTGGGGTATTAAATCTTTTCCTTTTCCCCTTTTTGTTGGGAACTTACGCAGCAATGATACGTATCCTTCATAGTACAGTTTCCAAACTTTTTCTGCAATTCCAATCCTATGTTTTGCATTTTCCGTTAGTCTTTCTTTGTCTGTTACTCCAAGAAACTTCAGAGGATCTGGACCATACAGAAATGGATTTATATCCCAATCTGCTTGGTGTGGGTTTATAAACATGGAAGGTGTTATCACCATCGGGGATTCTCTGTCAGCTGAAAGATATGTTAGAGGTCTATTATTGATCATATTCTCTATCTGGGCTCCTAGGGATAAAAGTGAATTCCAATTGTCGAATGACAAACCTTTGAAAGATCTTGCTATTCTATCCTTTATCATTCTCATGTGTCTTTCATAGAATCCCCCCACCAAGGGGCTCTTGAGGCATTGAAGTGCCATTCAACATTTCTAAACTTAACTCTCAACTGACTTTTTTGAGCTCGTAGAAGCATTGGCCATGCGGCTTGAAAAGTTGCTGCATTATCAGTCACCATGATTTCGGGATTTACATTTCTTTTTCCGCAAAATGTTTCGTACGCTCCTATGAATGATTTTATTGTTAGATCTTGGACGGGTTGTAGATCGACAGCTCTCACCAGAGGGCATGAAAAAACACAGATCGAGACTTTGTGTGCTGGGGATATTACCACCACTTTTCCATCTTTGTCCTTTTTTGTAATTTGAGTTGTTATAAAGGGCCCAACGAAATCAATTCCTACTGCTCTAAAAGGTATTGATCCATGATAATGGTATTCAGGCAATGGAGCAACAGGAGCTGCAAAGGGTTTAGCGTCGAATCTTTTACACCAATTGCATTGTGTACGAATTTCTTTCGCCAGTACTCTTCCTCTAGGGATCCAAAA